CATACTCAAAACATAACACATATAACAATGAGTCCTAGGCTAAGGCATCACAAATCAGGCCACTCTAGTCCTAACATATGAAATACCTAGCCTGTCTCTAGCATGCAATAATATCTCATAAAGTGCATCATACATATCTCATAACACAAAAATAAGGGTATTTTGGGAAATCACCGTTCGGGCTCTGGCTGATTGTACACACTGCTCCTTCTTGCTTTCTCTTTGAACTCTTATTCACTTTTAGAAAATTATTTCTTTAAAAACTTTTCTTACTTCCTCAGTTTGAGTCCAGATTTACCCGAAGGCGCATCCGAATCCCTCAAACCAAGGCTCTGATACCAACTTGTAACACCGTAAATTTCAAGACAAATTTTTCATTTAAAATAGTCATTTTACTCTTAGAAACAATTGTTTAAAATCTTATTCATAGTCGATTTACAAAACATAACTCCATTTTCACTTGTATAGAAAACCAGGATCCTCCAAAATATGACTCTTTCTCTGGTGTGCACAATCAAGCCGGTGCCGTCCCGTGATACTGAAAGAAACCTGTAAAACATCAAACAAAACGCTGTAAGCACGAAGCTTAGTGAGTTCCCCAAAACACCACACATAACACATATTAGCCACTCGAGGCTATAACTCTGTGGGTCCGTGCACCCAAACTCTGTGAACCCTCAGGTTCTAACTCTGGGAACCTTCCGGTTCCAACTCTATAGACATGCACAACATAAATCACATAGAAATAATACAGTACAATACATCACGTACATATAGCATACAAATACTCTAATCACATAACTCTGGTTACCTACTCAAGGTAAAGTATAGTGAGAAGACTCACCTGGCAAGCAGAAAGCAGATATCCCCACACTTGAATCTCGAACTCGCCACCGCCTAACACGTAAGGCAAATACTCTCATGAATATAACTCTTGAGGCTAGAATAAATCCTCTCATAACACCCTCTTATGGGTAAAAGACTATTTTACCTCTCTCTTGGCCCAAAGGCCACATCGCTGTCCAAACCCTAAAACTCACGGCCAACCCTTGGTCGAAATCAAAGTCCTCAGTCTAGGTCAACCCTTGACTGACTCTACTCGCCGAGTCAACCCTGTGACTCGTCGAGTTCCCATAATCAGAACTTCCCCAATTCGCGACTCAACTCATCGAGTCACCACGAGACTCGCCGAGTCCCACAACTCTGAGTCCACTCACACCCAACTCACCGAGTCATCCCTTGACTCACCGATTCTCGACTCAACCAGGAAATATTTGGGACTCTTCGTCAAGACTCGTCGAGTCCAAGAACAGACTCGCCGAGTCTACGGCTATCTTCAACCTACTCGCCGAGTTGTTCATACAACTCGCCGAGTTCCAGGCCATCTTCATCCAACTCGTCGAGTCCACCCATGTGACTCGCCGAGTACCGCCGGTCTGAATACATTCCGAAGCATTCCAGGCCATGCAACTGCTCCAAGACATAGATCTAGCCTCCTACCACTCATCCATCACGTAAAGTGGCAAACTTTACGTGAATCCAAAGAGATCTAAGCCGTTTGCACATTGGGGCTAGGGTTTGGGACATGCAAGCTTCACTAAACACTCCAACACAGGGACTTTCATGCTCTCTGATTCTTCTCCCTTCCAGATCTGAGGTAGCAACCTCAGATCTAACCTCTAGACTTCCCATTTCATCCATAGACAATTTCTCACAAACCCCAAAATGAAGAAACAACATAATCAACAGGTCAAAAACGAGATACTACCTCTAAGTGATGCCCCAACTGCAATGCAATTCGAATCCAAGCAAAGCCCCTTGCTCTAAGCCTTCAATCTTCCCAAAATTCCTTCAACCATTACTTCTCCAAGCTCCAATCCACTCAAAAATGGTGCTTCTCCGCGATTTAGGGTTTTCTGGGCTCAAGGGGTGATAAAGAGGCTGGGAGGAAGACATAATGATCATTATATAAGGCTCAACCCCGAGAATTAGGGTTTTCTCCACTCAGCGCCTACTCGCCGAGTCCAATACACTGACTCGCCGAGTCGGCCACTTAACACGCGACCAAGTCACGACTCTACTCGCCGAGTCCACACATGGACTCGTCGAGTCGCTCTTTCCTAATTTACTCTTTTAGCCCTTCAACTCTACTCTTGATATTTCAGGATGTTACAAATCTGTCAGTATTTCATCAGTGATTTATGATGGAATATTTACGTATGAAAAAACACTGTTTTCCTAAGTGGGATAATACTCGTGTATGAAGCAGGCGTGAACCCATCTCTAACCCGATTGTATATAAGTTGGAGTTGTGTGTGTTTCTCTCATAACACACCAATAATCAACACACACATAGCTCACTTTCTCTCTCGTTTGTTGCTAGGGTTTCACACCTAACATATTAGGGTTTCCAGTTCTTCATCTTTATGTGTCTTTTCTTTCTTAGTTTGGGTTGAGTGATGTGCTGAGGCTGATTGTATAGAGAGTGTCAGAATTTTTAGAGATGTGTGTGATGTAAGTTGATGAAAACCGCAACCTAGGTTTTTGTTTTAACAATGAATTAATTGTTGGTGTTGTGTTTTTTTTTTGGAAATGTAAAATAGCATTAAAAAAAAGGAACTCAAAAGCAAGAAGCTATACGAGGCAGAGTAACAGTACAAGGCTGAAAGAAAAAGCATAGGAAAGTTAAAATAGGGAAAAAAAAAAAACAAATAAGCTAAGAGGAAAAGTGATTAAAAGGCGAAATACACCAGTCTGCCCATGCACTGCAACTGAGATTACTTTTGGATTTAAGCCATATATATGACAAGGAGATGATGTTATCAACAGTTTTTGTTGGAGGTGCATTGAGCCAGTGATCTTCATGAACGTCTTTTCATTTCTGGCCAACCATATATTCCAAACGAAGCAATAGATCACCATAACTAGGATAGATTTCTTTTTTGGGCAATTCCCCTAAGTAGCCGCAAAGTCAATAAGTTCACTTATGGATGTAAATCTTATATTAGTAATCCCACACCATTTGAAAATCCAATTTTGTACCACCTGAGAATATTCGCATGTAATGAGAATATGATCAACAGTTTCAATCTCTTTATTTCATAGTCAACATGTGGTATTTGTTACACTAACTCCCCTTCTAGCCAAAGCATCTGCCATTGGGATCCTACCATTGAAGCTCTCCAAAGAAAACATCTAACTTTCAGACGAATTATAATGGACCAACAGATAAATTGCCCCTTGGATAGAATAAGTTTTGATTCTATTAACCTCCTCATAGCGTTAACAGTGTGATCCCCATTGGAGTTCAAGCAAAAGCTAAAACCATATTTGAAGGTGCACTCTGTGTTCATCAAACCAATCTGTTTATAAATTTGAAGAAGTTCATTAAGTTCTGCTGCGACGGTTGGTTCATATCTCCACATCCAAGAAAAGCCATTGCTTGAGAGACGATCCTCCAAAAGACAACATTTAACCGTTTCAAGTGAGTACAGATGAGGGAATTTTGTTTGAAATAACTCGTTACCGCACCATGCATCTTTCCAAAACAATATTTTGACTCCAAATCCTCGAATAAGGTTAAAAATCTCCTTCATATCTATCGTTAGCTTAAAAATGGAGTTCACTGCCTTGGATATGTTGCACCGTATTCCATTAGAAGATTTCTTTGCCATGTAGGATGTTGGTTTGTTATGTAAATTATAAATACTTTCGATGACTTCTTTCCATAAACTTCATTTGTCGTTCATCAACCTCTACCACCACTTTATTAATAGGGACGTGTTCTGGGCTATCAAAGTACCAACCCCCAAGCCACCGACTGATTTTGGCGCGATAACTCTTCACCAATCTACCCAATAAATTTTCTTTTTATGATCACCATCGCCACCCCATAAGAAATTTCTTCTGATCTTTTCGATTTCATTGATGATACCTTGTGGGGCTTTAAAAAGGGACATATAGTAGTTTGGTAGGGATTCGAGAACGGATTTGATGAGGGTGAGACGACTGCCAAGTGATAGCGATTTCGCTTTCCACATTGATAGTTTGGAACTGAGTTTGCCGAGGACCGGCTTCCAGTTTTTTTTGAGTGTCATGTTTGCACCTACCGGAACCCCTAAGTATTTGAACGGAAAGTTGCCTTTCAAACACCCAAGAACCCGTGCTGTATCATGTAGTTCTGCATTTGAGACTCCAACACCAAAGATACGAGGAAGTTCACTTTTAATCCCGACGACATGTGAAAGCTCTTAAGGATGTGAGACAGGTTTCTAATGCTTGGATAATCCCATTGCCCATCGTCGGCATAGAATAGATGAGATATAGAGGGGCTTCTCTTGGTAATTTGACTCCTCGGATCAAGGATCTATCCCTGTTTCTGTTTTTGTACAGTCCTAAATCTAAATTTAATATAGTATAGTATCAGCAAGCAAACGTAACAAAAGTGTATTAATGGCAAAAAAAACAAAATATTGTTGATATGTTTTAAATGAGCTTTACTATGGCTGAAAAAGAGACTGCATGTCCTCTATTCATGAATCCTCTTTCAACATGAATCCTCTTTCAAATGATACGCTTAGATTTGAAATAAAGGCACTATAATCACGCTGAAATATTATATTGGACTACCAAAACTGTCGGGGACGTGGGTTTCAGATTTGCAGCTTATTGTTCTTTTAAGTTTATTTGATAATAATCCTTAGATTATGTAATTATTTTTTATTTAATTCCTAAAGATCATAATCAAGTATTGACGTACTTGCGAGTTTTGTAAACATGGGAGGTAATATGTTGCTATATAGCCTATAGAGAGTTTTCTAAAAACTGCTTTTGATTAAATAACTCGATTGCAGGGACATTATTATATTAATTTATTGGTCTACACTCCAGCCGTACGCATGCTATAGCTAGTTTTACATTATTTCCTAAGACATAAATGAAGCCACAAATTGAACTCATTTTCTATCATTATTTTCATTCTTGGCGACCTAGAAAATTTATTAGAATACCGGGGAAGCTGGTGGTGTAGCAATCATGCTAAAGTTACTGGTTAGACTATTCCAACCACCATCTAGAAGATCAACAAAGTCTTCCCAGAGATCGGGGGATCGAAGAGGATCGCCATTGATGAAAGTTGCATCATTAGTGAACTCAAATTCCTCAAATGTCCCCATTTGAGTTTTGATTTGATCATTAAGTTTCTTGACCTGATCTTGTTCACACGAACCATTACCTTCAACTGGCCTTGCTGCTGTGACGATCGAATTTTTTTCGGAGACATTTGATGTGGATATGAGTGATTGGAGACTCTCATTGTTGATAGAGTAATTTGACCATAAAGTCCCTTGCCAAACCTTTAGCACATCAAGGCATGGTAATTGTGGTGGTGGAACTGCGGTGGACCTTTTATGGAGTTCAGGAGTAGAAGAAGGTGAAATAAGATAGGGTAGTTGATTGCAAAAGTTCTTTGGTTTCTGAACAAGCCTAGCTTCTGCCTCCAGTCTAGCAGCTTCCCACTGAGCCATGTGGTTTAGATTAGAGCCCAGGAGTTGGGTTCCACTCTTTGGCTTGTGGGTCATCGGATCAATACCCATTTTAGTCATTCTCTTCTTGATGTGTGAGTTCCAATGGTTCTTGATCTCGTTATCTGTCCTTCTTGGCAAGTGAGCAGCAATTGTTGACCATCTAACGTAGAAATATGAAATTAGAAACGAAACTTCATTTATGAAGATATTGAAACTAGCTAGATGGTTACAGTAATGGTATAACAGTGACGATGATGCATCATTATGAATCATTCAACTTGTACCTGTTACCAAGAAGAGCGTGAAGTTGAATGATGGTCCTTTCTTCTTCCAAACTGAACTTTCCTCTCTTGATATCTGGCCGGAGATAATTTGTCCATCTCAACCTACAACTCTTTCCACATCTCTTAAGCCCTATATAACATCAAAGCAACGTATATTTAACCAAAGAAAATTAAGTAAAACTGTCTTGTGCATGCATGAGGAGGTCACATAGTTACCAGCTTTAGCAGGCAAAGCGCGCCAACTGCCATGACCAAATTGTTGGATGTAGGCCAGTAGCTTTCGGTCTTCTTCAGGTGTCCATGGCCCTTTCTTCACTCCAACTCCTAACCCCGCCATATTACTGTTGCCATTTTGTTTTCTCTTCTTTTCACTGCGACCTGATCTTCCCATCTTAATAGATTTTCCGCCCAAACTACACCTCTCTACACTTATCGTGTTTCAGGGTAGACCCTACCTTATGTTTTGTATATTTGATTGGGTGTAAGGATCTAGCTCTAGGTATTATGTTAAGGAGACAGCACAGCAACACAGATGAGAGAGAGAGAGAGAGAGAGAGAGAGAGAGAGAGAGAGGAAAAGGAAAAGGAAAAGGAAAAGGAAAAGGAAAGCTGAGTATGGAAAGGATAGCTTGAATGTTCGTTGAAAAGGTAGAACTATATAAGGGAAAGAAACGGGGTAATGTCAATTATGATAGACATATATACGTACAGTTTATGCACCAACAATTGTAATCTGTAGCACCAACTTTTACAAATCCAATAGTGAAGCAATGAAAATACTCCCCTATCTACTACATTGATACCTGCACAAACTCTCATTTAACATACACGTGTTTGCATGAATGCATCATGATGTGTTTACTGGTAGGACCTAAGCAAACTCAACGTATTTATTGCCAAAAATGTCGCAATAATATTGATGATTAAATGAAACAACCAACTTCTAAACTAGTAATTAAATCATCATCAGCAGAATGTGATCCGTGTGTATTGGATCTTTGCGCCTAGTTGGTGTGTTTTGATTCAATATAACTGGGCATTCACATACCGCGTACAGCTACGAATACCTAATCTTCTTTTTATATAATAAAAGTTTATATATAAACATGATTATAGCCATTGATTGTATTTATTCTTAGATTTTGCATCTTTAGATTTTAAATCCTTTGATTATTTTTTTTCCACCAATTTAGGTTTAAAATTAGGAAACACTACTAGAAACCTGATCTTCACCGACGAAATTAGCTACAGATTCATTCCGGAGCTAATAAGTGACGGCTTATCAAGAGATCAACGACGGAAAGCATAAATATATCGACCAAAATACTTATTAAATTTTGGAAAGGTATTACCGATGGATCAGCAACAGACTGGTGAGCATTTATCGATAAAAAACAGTCATTCGCTAATCCGTTGCAAATTAAAACTTTTTAGTGAAGGAACAATAGCAGATTGTTAAAAAACAATGGCCTTTTTTTTCTTGGCCCTCGCCAATCACTCGTAGAATTTAAAAGCCTCATTTTTTATTTCCTGATTTTCTTTGTTTTTTCCATCCCTCGTTTTATTTTCATTCCTGATTTTTCTGTCTTTTCAGCTCCCTCGTTTTTCTTTCATTCCCTTTAATTTCTTCCCAAAGCCCTAAACGATTTCCTCACAAAGCCCTAATCGACCCTTTGTCCACTCAAATCCCTTCTCCGCCCAAGAAATTGCCTCAATCACTGTCCACCTGCAGTGCACCTCTTTAAACTATACTTAAGCCTCTCAAAGGAAAACCTCATAGATCACATACTTATTGGATTTCTTCTCGGCCTGTCTCCCTTCCTCAATGACTCGTTGTTTCCCTACCAATGATGTTCGATCTGGTTTTTCATCCTCTGTTGCTTCAGATTGTAAACTCGAGCAAATCAAAATTAGTCTTCATCAGCTTCCAATTCTAGTTTCTAGTAGTATGTAAGCTGCATTTCCATGGACGTCTCTTACTTCTCTTTTATTTCTAGCTCATATCACCACTCGTTTTTCTAAGTTTTACCTTTCTTAACTCTTTAATTTTGGTTTTCTTAGGGCTTCCATGTTGATTATCATCTTGACTCAAATTTCTGCTTTCTAGATTATATAAATAAGCATACAATTTTTTTTTCCTACAATTGAACTGATATGAATTTGGTACCGAGTGTAGGCATTTAACTAGGGGGTCAATTTCAAATGGTAACAATCATGAGTTTCAGTATGTCTCGACCTATTGCTATTGCTCGAACCTATTGATATTGTTGGTATGTATTTTTGTTCCAATACTCTTCTCTTCTATATTCCTATCTTCTTTGTAGGATCCATGTTTGACTTTTAGGTCAAGAATATAGCTATTGAGTTAGAAACACAGAACACACATAGGAATAAGTGCTATAAGATGGACATGTTCATAATTTATTAGTATTCCTTCACAAAATTTTGAATTTTCAATGGCTTATTACTAAATTTTTTGGAAATAAAGTTATAGTTTTTCAACATGTTTAGGAAAAACCGACATTCAATACTTATTAATTGAATAATTCCTTTTTTATGTTAATTATTATTGAATTCAGATATCCCTACATACGTAGCAATTTTGTTATATGTGATAGTTTTTGCAGTTATACCAACACTCACCTTCAAGTAAGTGTGTGTGTGTCTATATATATATATATATATATATATATATATATATATATATATATATATATATATATAAATTGACTCTTCAAGATATGCAGTTATACCAACACTCATATGTTGTTATGGGAATTGGACTAGCATTATGAACTTTTAAATAGTGTAGGGTTTGTTGGTGACTCCCTAAATACAACTTCATAAAACTTTTGGGACTAGCATTATAAACATTTAAACATCGCCAAGAACTTATTCAAGATTTGTTCATGGAATGAAAGGATTCTAATAGAGGAAAAGTCTCTGGTGGCATGATCAAGTAAGAAAAGCCTCTCTTTTTTTCATCTTGTTTATTACCTAGTATTCTCTAATATTCTGTTGTGATTCAAAAAAAAAACAGGGAGCTTCTGATATCATTCAAAAGAACAACTGATCAAAAACTATAGAGTATCATCTTCTATAGTTATGTAACATTTGAACTTGTTATTCATGAGTTAATTATGTTTATAAAGAAATATTCTGATTGATTTATTGATGATGTAGGGATGGTGTGAGTGAAGGGAAGTTTATCAAGTTCTTCTTTATGAGCTTGATGCGATACATAAGGCTTGTGCATCATTGGAGGCAAACTATCAGCCTCCAGTGACAATTGTGGTAGTGTAGAGACGTCACCACACTAGATTGTTTGCTAACAATCACCATGATTATAATTATGTTGACAGGAGTGGAAATATTCTTCCAGGTATAATATATATTAACTTTATTTGAATGAACGTAAGTTAATTTCTTTTTGTAATAAAATCTTCAGGTAATAACTAGAATGTTTGAGAAGTTTCTAGAATTGTGTATTGTGGCATATATTCTGTTTGTGTAACAAAAACAGGGTACAAGTCGTCCAGTTTATTACCATATGTTGCGGGATGAGAATAAGTTTTTAGCTAATGACCTGCAGTCACTCACAGATAACCTTTGTTACACATATGCTGCTTTCTCTTCTTTCTCATTGCATATCATTTGAAAACTCATTCTATTTTCTTTTAAAACATATTGTTCTAGGCACTGATGGTGCCTTTACCTTTTTAAAATACAACCTTTTGGCACTTGTATGTTATTTTCATTTGTCTCTAAAAGATTTGTTCTAAAACTTTTTTAAAATAGCATATGTTTTAAAAGATGTAAAAACATGTGTTTTAAAAAGAAAATAACATATGGTTTTAGAAGAAAATATCAATGCTTTCACTTCCTTCCACCTTTTTTCTTACATCTTGACTCAAGGGCGTTTTTGTCTTTTCATCTATGATTCTAGGTTTTCAGTCAAGAGTACGATTATTGATCTCTTCAACATTGTGGTTGTTCCCGATTTCAACATGTAGGCAAATTGGCAAAACTTTTTTCTATTTTGGTTTGTTGTCCGGGTTTAATTTCTTTCTTACATTTTTTGGTTTTAAATTTGCAGGGGAACCATGGAAAACAAGAGGATGAATGTATGTGTACAGATTTACAGTAGTAACTTATATAATTTTTTCTGCATAAAAATATTTTTCATTAATATATTTTTTTGTTCTTGAATAGATTTTCAATTCTAAGCTTGTTTTGGCATCATCTGAGAGTGCATCAGATGCATATTACATAGTTTGTTACTTTCTTTATAATTGTGAAATGTAATTTTTTTTGTAGATCAAACTTTAACCGATTAAACTATAGTGGCTTCTTTACAACTATCTTGGAGAGGGGTGATTGAATGATTTGTGTTGCATCCATTGGACCTAACCAAGTCAAGTCCTTCTTCGATCCAAAGACTACTGCCAAAGTTCATGTAAGTTCTCTCATTTTTTTGACATAAAAGAGAACTCCAGTTTTTGTAAAAGATCGTTGACTTGACTAGTCAATGACTCTATTTACATGTAGGTTTGGGCAGAAAATATTGAAACCAGCTCCTTGAAATGATCGATGTCTGGTACTTTTGTTGTTTTATGAAATAATCTTTCATGAATTTAAGCTTTAGAAGGGTAGTTCTATAATTTCCTTTCTAATTAAAAATCTTGTATCCAATTTTATAAGTACTAAAATGCTATTAATTTTGGTGTAGTAAATGCTCTATAAGGATCAACACAAATGTTTAAAGAATCAAATGCCAGGAGAGATGAAAATTTTTGAAGACCAGTATGCAAACATGGTATTTTCTTTCACCAACATGTATTACCATTTACTTTTTAGTCGGAATGGGAATTCCATTCCAGTCCAACATTTGGTTTCAGATGAGTAGACTAATCTCCTTTCTATCAACTAGAAAAACTCTGCTTGCAATAAATGCTTCCAACAAATACCCTGATCTACCAAAAACTAGGAGGACATCATGTATGCAAGTCTCCTTCCATTGCAGGAAAAAGTAAGTGACATTTGGTTCGCCTAATTCAATGAGATTTAATAGGAATCGGAATCCAATTCCATTTCAATCCTTCTTTAGGATGCAAGATATGAATCAATGGAAAAGATGTATTCGGAAATGCAAACTATGAGAGGAAATAAAGAATTATGGTACATTATTCATTGAAATCAAATAACAATTAATGTTTTTAACTTTGGTATTTCAATGTTAATGTTTGGTTTTGGATTCTATATATATTTTATGTTTTTGGTATTTGAATGTTAATGTTTGATTTGAGATTGTATAATTATTTTGTGTTATAGATTTGTAATAAAAAAAAAAAAAAAAAAGCTGATATTACTCATTTGCGAGGGATTAGCAACG